TCAGCGGCTGGCTGCCTACCTGTCTGTGAGAATCTAGCTCTTGGGATTTATCACTTGTGTTAGTGGCAGTAAATTGGCAACCAGAGCATGGGATTTTTTTTTAAAATTGAAATAATTTATTTTTTATTGTATTTTTTTTCTATTGGTTTACATACAAAGTTCATAAAATTCATATACATTGTTTTTTACACTGGATCTTTCCCCTTTCATTTACCCATCCCTCCCTCTACCCATCAAATTGTGTGACCCTATGACTAAGCCCCCCCCCCCACTTTGGATCTTCATACTCATTCTACAAAAATGGCCTTAGACAGTATTTGTCCTTATGAGACTGAGTTAGTTCATAATGCTCTTAAGTCCCTCCTATGTTAAGTAATTTACAAATTCATTTTTCCTGTGTGCTGCACTGTGTGCTGGGCTGTTTCCATGTTTTTATGTACAACTTTCTTACTTGAATCATAGCGATACAAGTTGGAATTAATCACCTGGATGCTGGGGACAGAGCTGGGTTAAGCCTCATGGGGAATGCACCCTCTGGTGCAGGAGAGCTAGGTCCACAGGTAGCTCAGATGCTCATGTAGCTGGGAGAAGGGTGCTCCCAGCCACATGAGCTGGATGGACCCTAAAGAATGAATAAACAACTGTGAGGGGTGATGGCATTCAGACTCAGGGAATAGCAAAGACAAAGATGTGGCAGCATGAAGGGACATGGAGATTGGAGTGTGGGGCTTGCAGCTGCCTTTTCCAGCCATGAAAAGCCCGGGCAATCCAGGCCTGATGTTTTGACCTTTAGCCGTAAGGTGCCAGAGCTCCTGGCCCTTGCCCAGTCCCTGCTTTTGATTTATAGTAGAAAGTTAATTCCCTCTCTTGCCTCCCCCTCCCCTTTTCCTTTACCGTATTTGGATCTCTTGCACATGTTTTTAATAGGCGTCCCTTAATCCAAGTGTTTCCTTCTGGGTTTTATTCTGTTTTCTTTTCCTTAAACAAAACAGAACGGCTATGCCAGCTTGGAACAAGACTCAAAACTGAAGCCAACCAATGTGTTAGGCTAGCAGGGGGCGTGCAGTGAGCTAGTACCCCACATCTCCAGAGTCTAGCTGCCAGCTCGGTGTTGGGGTCAGGGCTCCGGACAGCTGGACTGGAGTTTCTAAGACCTGAACACCTCTGCTGGAGGAGAAGAGATGAGCAGAGATGCACACGTCTGGCTGGGAGTAGGGCTGTTCATCGGGAAGGCCTTGAGCGCAGGCCTCCTCCACCCTGCTAGGTGTACTTCCTGGTTCGAGAAGTTAACGTTTGCATTCCAGGGACAGCACAGTTGCCCTCTCATGGGAGCCTTTTAGGTCTGCAGGTCAATTTTTAAAGCAAATGTATGTTGACTTGCTTCTGCATTTGTTGTAAAACTCTCAGAACCAGGGCCCTGGGGGGCCTGCTTGCTGGTGCAGGGCAGTTCTCACTCACTCTTTCTGGCCTTTTTGTCTGCCTTCTCTTCTCCTTCTTTTCCTTTTCTTCTTCTCCACTTCTCTTACCTCTTTTACCTTTCTTTCCCTTCACTTCCCCTCCTTCCTTTCCAAAACTTCCTCTGCTTTTTCTCTTCTCATCCTTCCCTTCCTTTTTTTTTGGGGGGGGGTGGGGGGTTGTTCTGAGAGAAAGAAGATAATTTAATGCCAAGACATGTTTTATTTCCCTTCAAAACTAGTAAGCATTGTCTGCCTACAAGCTAAGATTGTGTAACTAACATATGATGTTCCCCTTTTTGCCTTGCCTGCTAGGAAGCTCAGAGCCAAGCTGGGTGTTCTTTCAGTAGCTGTTAACTTCTCAGTTGCCCTGTTTATAGCCATGTCCTTTAGATAATCTTGAATTTTTTTCCTTTTTCTGTACTGACTCTGATGTACATAAGTTCTTAGGTAGAACAGAAATAAGGGCATACAAGCAGTTAAAAGGGAAACATACTGTTCAAGACAGAACTTAGAGACAGTATTTGTTTAGGTTTGTGGCTCCTCTTACAGAATTGCTGTGAGAAAGCAGCTGAGGGGTGGTTGGGAGGCAACAACAGGCAGGGCTGGCTTTCATTTGCTTCTAGAGGATAGTAAGTGAGCAGCTGTGGTGCTGCCCCGGGTCCTTTCAGCTCCTGAATGAAGACTGGCTCATATAAACAGAACTCAGAAACGGCAAACTTCAAACGTTGCCTTTGGCCTGACTACATAGCTCTTCCAAAATGCTATCTTCCTAATTATGTGTCAAGCTCCTGCGTCCAGAGTTTTCCACTGCCCTGGGATGTCTGACCAGTAGGTGTGTGTGAGTTGTAGCAATGCTTTAGATCAGGACCCCTATCTTCTTTGGAGTACTTCTTGGACCTAGGACCCCAAATGCTGTTCTCATTCCTGAGCCCACACCCTCTGAGAGAACAGCACGATGTTGCCTTCCTTGCACCCCTCCACCCCAGCCACCTACTGACTTTCTTTACTCTGATGTGTGGGCTGTGCCAGTATTCTTGGGAACCTAGCACTTGCTCCCGCCTGGACTAAGCCCAGGGGGTGCAGGGCAGGGTGTTATCATGTAGGGTTGAGGGTTCTTTGTTCTCTTTTACATATTGCAGAGGAAGGCAAGGGCAGGTCAGATCAGGCAAACCTGCTGTTGAAACTCATCTGTGCCAGAAACACAGTGACCCAGATGGCCTCATTTAGAGGTCTTCTAGGACAGAATAGTCATGATACAAGCTAGCAAGCTGAAGCTGGAGAGGGGACATTCCTGAGGGCACACTGCATGGTCAGCAGAGGCTGGGCTAGAACCTGGGCAGAGGTGTGGCCCAAGTTCAGTCACAATAACTGTTGGCCCTCATAACATTGCCTGGCCACGTTGAATGCTTGGACTGCACTTTGATTTCTTGGAATTTCTTTCTTTCTTTTTTTTAAAGTTTCCAAAGCAACCCTGCTGAAATGTTAGTGACCACATTGTTTAGAATATAGCTTATCTCATTGGAATGTTGGAGCTTTGAGCAGAGCCAGAGCTGGACATGGCTAACATGGCTCAGTCTACCCTCAGGGCCAAGGCAGAGGCCAGGTTGACCTTGTCCTTGGTCTCCCCTCCCTCCCATTAAGTAGCTGAGATTTCTGCCCTCATCACCATCTTCGCTTGCAATGGACAAAGGGGGATGCAGAACATCTGTCTCTTCAGATGGAAGTTGACATAGGAACAGGATGTTCTCAAGTTCAGATAGTCAAGGTTATTAATCATTGTGGTTAACACCTCTTACTGAGTGCTAGATACGTGTCTTGCATTGTTCTAAGTACTTTACATAAATGATCTCTACCCGCAAACAGCCCAGGTGGTTGAAGATGACTCCCCACACTGCTGGTGGTGTGAAGAGGAAAGTGGAAGCTGAAGCTCAGAGAGTTTAACTGATTTTCACATAGTCCCACAGCTCACTGAGTGCCAAGGCTGAGATTAAACTGTGGCCCATCTGATTTGAAAGCCTGTGCCTGGTGACTTGGAGGGAGGTTGCTCTCTGCTGTGGGCCCCTGGGTTTTTGTTCTCTTGCCTCTTATGAGATTCCTGGAAGTTTTGAGAGCTATTTTTGGTTGTCCTGTCTTTGAGGGGTTGTTACTGGCATCTAGCACCTGCTGAACTTCCTGCGATGCACAGAACAGCCCCTGCAGCAACAATGGGACATTTCCTGTAGGAGAGTTTGTAATACTGTTGTAATTCTTAGGTGCCTTTGAGTTGATTACAACTCACAGCAGCCCTTTGAACAACAGATCTGAACCTCGCCCTGTCCTCCCACCATTCTCATGATCTCTGTCCTGCTCAAGTTCATTGCAGTCATCACTGTGTCAGTCTGTCTCATTGAAGATCTTCTTTCTCCTCCCCTCTACCTTTCCTAGCATAATGTCTCTCTCCAAATATTGATTCCTCCTAAAAATGTGCTCAAAATAAGTGAGACAGAGTTTCACCATCCTTGCCTCTAAGGAGCACTCAGATTGCACTTCCTCTGAGAAAGGCATGTGTGTTCATGGGATGTTCTGTACCCTTCACCAATATCACAGCTCAAAGACAGCAGTTCTTCTGTCATCCTTATTCATTGTCCAGCCTTCAGATGATAGGAAGCAATTGAAAAGACCGTGGCTTGGATCAGATGACCTAAAACAGCATCTGAAAACACTTGGGCAGGGGATAGTGTTTCTGATAAAAGACATGGGTGTGGGTTCGGTCTGCAGGCAGACCTTGCCTGGTGAGCATGTGGATTCACAGACGTTGAGCACACATTGGATCCCGCTGAGCTAGCCCAGCCTTTCTTCTTTGTACTGCCAAGTCAGTCGTCCACTCTTCACACCCCACGTCACAGAGTAGAACTTCCCCATGGAATTTTCTAGGCTGTAATCTTTACATAGGGAAGCACATCACCACCTTTTTCTCCCGTGCAGAGATGCTGCTTCTCCCAAGCACACTTGTGCTTCCAGGATTTTCTCTTTCTTTACAAACATGGAAATGGCAATTCAGCAGGCTTAGAGGTTTGCCTCAAAACCATGGAGAGTTGAATGCTAAGAAGTCCTTTTGAAGACAGATTAGTATGTGTTACTTCGGAGACCTTGAATGAGTGGCCGAACGTGATCTATGTAGAAGGTGTGGCCTGCTTCACAAGGGGGACACCCCAAGGCATCCAGTGCATTTGTCTGGGAATTTTTGGTGCCTGGCCCATTCAAACCAGTTTCAGTCCTTATCAAAGTTAGGCAAGGTAAGAATGAGCCGTGGTAATCTAAAAATAAGTTAATTCAGTGGCTCTTGGGAATACATAAAGTGGCAAGGGTCCAGCATTTTCTAAACACACACGAGAACCTTGTCCCATTTGGCTGTGTAAGTTGTTTTCCTGAAAGGTACAGAGGTCATGGATTATGAATGCCCTTGAAGAGATGGACTAACAGTTTCCAAGCATCCAGGAGTCCCATCTAGGGAACAGGGGTCAGGGTGACCCACTAATCCCAGCACCTGACCTGTCTCCACAGACCTGCAGCCAGTCACCTACTGCGAGCCGGCCTTCTGGTGCTCCATCTCCTACTATGAGCTGAACCAGCGTGTCGGGGAGACCTTCCACGCCTCGCAGCCATCCATGACCGTGGATGGCTTCACCGACCCATCCAACTCGGAGCGCTTCTGCCTCGGGCTGCTGTCCAATGTCAACAGGAATGCTGCAGTGGAGCTCACAAGGAGACATATCGGTAGGGGAGCCCTGCCTCCCTCCCTTTCCCTTCCACCCAAAACCCCAGTGTTACCTCTGCCAGAAAGCAAGCCCCGCCTACCCCGCTCCCAGCCTTGGAGGAGCTATGTCGCCTACTGGAAATTAAGAAGGGAACTCACTGCCTGGCCCACACCCAAATTCCATGCTACCCTTTTTGGGGCCAGGCGTATGAGGTTTATGATGTTCAGTCTTTCCTACTCAAAGATGTGAACTCTGAAGGTTTGGAGGCCACAGAGGGAGACACTTGACTTAATAGGACAAGAGAGAGAAATCTATGAGAAAGATAACATATATAACTTTTTTCGTAAAAATACATGTAAAGTACACATAGGCTAATGGGTACATATTTATGCTGGGAAAATTAGAAAAGATGGAAAGACAAGGTTAACCCAACTTGGGCTTTCTGCACTAAAGATCACTTTGTTGAGTGAGGGAAACTGAAGCTCTGCTGTCTGTGGATCATTTGGGTTACATTGTGCATCACTCTGAAGTTATGGTGCTGATCATCTTGTCACGGAATTAGAGAATGTCAGAACTTAGGAAGGCTGTAGAGCTAGTGTGATGCACCTGGGCTGGGGCCCCCAGCATTGACAAAGGGCTCCGGGGTGAGCCCTAGAGCTGGACAGGGCAGCACAGGGGCCTCTGCCCCACTAAAACCAGAGCACTCCTGTTCTTATGGAAGGAGGGAATTTATAATTAAAAAGAGAAACTTCTCGGGAAGATTGGTTGAGGCTGACACACTCCTTTTTCTAGGAAATAGCCTGATTCCCAGAGGGCTACAGAGGCTACACATTACATTAGGATGAAACTACTCCAGGCCCCCAATCTGCATCCTTCCTACATGCCTCTATATTTTTACTTTAAAAGGATGCTAATTTTGAGTGGTGTATTTACTATTTTTATACTATTCCATATTTTCAAATAATCTCTCAAAATAAGTTCAAAAGGAACTTTCCTGTATCTTGGTCTGGGTCCTCCATGGCCCCATCTCTGCCTCCTGTACTCGACTGAGATGATGAAGGCAGGGCCCTCTCTGTGGACATGGATCCCCAGTGCTCTGCATATCCCTGAGATCCCCAGTGCTCTGCATATCCCTGAGATGCCAAGTGCCTTGGACCCAAAATGGGGAAGTTAGTGAGTCTGGGAAGCTGGGGAGGAAGCATCACATGGTTTCCGTCCCACTGGCCTTCGGGCCTGTGTTGTCTGGCTCCCTTCTCCAGCCCGAGGAGCCTCTGCCCTGGGAGCAGGAATGGGACATTCCCTGCAGGAGAAGGGAACATCCCCTGGCTAAGCAGAGAGCTCATTGTCCGAGTGTTTATATAACTGTTCGGATTACAGAACCAATTTAAAAATAATTCCTGTCCATCTGGGGTGAATTTAAGAGATGAAGAGAAAGGAAATAGCATAAACCTATGGAATGTTTTTTTAAAAAAATGCATTGTGGGAGAAGAGAAGAGAGGCTAGCATTAAGCTGTCCCTGCCATGACTGACTCCCAGAGACTGATGACTCAGGTTTACGGAATGTATCTCTGAATCTTGCAGTGGGAAAGGGTCTTGTAATGGGAGTTGTTGTTGTTGTTGAGTACCGCTGAGTCAAGATAAACTCTTAGCTGAGCCTCTAGCAGGTTTTCAGAGGCAGTAGGTCACATGGGAGGAGATTGCCCATCCTTCTCCCACATAGTAGGAGTACCAGCAACATCAGCAACCTTGGTGGTCGTGAAAGCATCAACAGTGATGGTGACTGCCATATTGTCGGCCTGAAGGTAACCAGACTGGTTTTCTGTGTGCCTTAGTATCTCACTCTGCATCCCCTGCTGCTGCTGGTGCTAATACTTACAAGGCATTTATTGTGCCATGGCCCATAGAGAGTTGTGCTGCTAACTCAATGGCCTCTTTTCTCTAGTGGTTTGAATCCACCTGTGGAGAAACTAGGACCATCTCTTCCCGTGTGATTTACAACCTTTAAAATCCAGTGGAGGCTTAGCTGTACGTGTCAGCTCTAACTTGACAGCTGTGAGTTTGAGTTTCAATGACCCTGAGTGGTAGATCGTACAATAAAACTTGAGAAAGTCACAACCTCTATAAGGTGGAAACTTAAAAAGGGGAACTCAAGTATGTTCTATGAAATAAGAGCTGGAAAAGCGGCGAGCTCTGGTGGTCTAGTGGCAAGAAGCTGCACTGCAATCTCAGATGTACACAGTTCGAATCCACCAGATGCTCTGCTGGAGAAGGAGGAACAATCTCCTCCTGTGTGACGGTACACACAAAAAAAGTAATGAAATGAAATGAAATAAAAATTTAAAAAAGAATAATAAAAAAAAAAGAGCTGGAAAAGCTAGGTAAAACTTCACCCTATCAAAGGCAAAAAACTTGTGATACCAAGGAAATCTGGTGTTCCTGTTGAGTTCTGGCTCACATGGTTATTACTATTTGGTGTGTATTTTATGATTGAGGAAGCTGAGGCTGACAGGGTGAATAACTTGACTGAAAGAGTTCTGGTGGTTCAGTGGTTAAAACACTCAGCTGCCAACCAGAAAGTCAGCAGTTCAAACCTACCAGATATGCTTCATAGGAGAAAGATGGGCAATCTCCTTCCATAAAGATTTGTAGCCTTGGAAATGCTACAGGATAGTTATAATAGTTACACTCTGTCCTCCAGGGCCACTATCCCTCAGAATTGACTGGAAGAGGGTTTTTTTTTCATTGTGGTTTTTTTGTTTGGTTTTTTTCCCCCCATTTATTTAGTCTCATGACTCATCAGTGGCTGAGGTTCTTACTGAATCTGCCTCAGTGTGATCTCTTTTCTCTTGTCATCAGTCTCCTCAGTGCTGGGAATCCAGCCTTACCTGTCACCTGTTTGTGGGTTTTAAGCACTGACCTCATGAGGTTGGTAAAGCAGCTACCAGTTGGAGCATCGCTGCTGTTTGGCCTCCCTTTGCCAGCCTCAGGTGGTCTCTGGGTCCTTGTATATGGGTAGAGATGCCCTGACCCCTCCTAATCTGAATCTCTGTAGGGAGAGGCGTGAGGCTCTACTACATCGGAGGGGAAGTCTTTGCGGAGTGCCTCAGTGACAGTGCTATTTTTGTCCAGTCTCCGAACTGTAACCAGCGCTATGGCTGGCACCCGGCCACCGTCTGCAAGATTCCACCAGGTAATGCCGTTTCCCCCTCCAAACACACCCTGCACCTCCTTCCCCCACAGTGTTTGCCTTGGAGACATTTCATCCTTCTGACCTTTTCTCCTCGTCAGGTTGACACCTGGAGGTAGATTGGTTGTGTTTTCTCTGTGCCTAACTATATCTCAACTCTGCTTTCCCTGAGCCCCCAGGGAGCAGGTGCGGCATCTAACAGATAAGCGTTTAACCAGCAGATATCATGCTCACTGCCTTGTGTCTGTAGCTGCGGGAACGTTATAGCTTCATTCATTCACTCATTCATTCATTACGCAGCAGGCATGTCATCTTAGACCTTATAGGCCAGTAAAGACATTACATTCCTTAAAGACATGGTGACTTAACACTAGGGAGGGATACTAAGCACCACAGGTAGGGCTATTTGGGGTTCAATAAAGGGAGGGCACATTTAGCTGTAAGGCTGTAGGAAAAAACAAAACTTAGGGGCACTGGGTCATAATTGTCTCTCTGAGAGGTCCAGAGGAAGTAAGAACAGCATAACCCTCACCGCACCAGAGCAGAAAGCAGATAAAAGAGCCTGTAGACCAGCCCCGTGGTTCCTCTAGAAACACACCAACAGTAGGAGATTCTTTTATTCATTGCTGACACAGACTCACAGTTATGGTACCCAGAGTGGAGTTTATTAGAGAAAGAGTTTGGTGAGTAAGAGAGGCAAAAATAATTTGCTGAATGCAAACCCAAGTTTTAGCCAAGCATGCTCAAGGCACAATTCCTCTATTAGTCCAGACTCTGGTTTCAGTTCAGCAGCCAAATCCAAATCATCCGTCAAAGTTTGCCTCAAAGTAGTTATAACCAAATCATCTAGCAAGGTTTGCCTCAGAGCAGTTATAAGTTAGCTTCTCCTTCAAACATCCAGGAAGAACAGCCAAATCTTTAACTGTGGCCAGCACAAATGCAAGAAGCCTCAGGTCATACCTTGCCACTATTTGTCCACTGCAGTGCCACAGTCTCTCCACCACCAGGGACACGCTCTCACCATTGCCTTGCATGTCTCAAGTCTTGCTGCTCAGTGTGGGAAGCACTCTTTGGCTTATCCTAGTCCCAGAGCTGTTGGTGATTTGCAAGGCCATGCTGATTTGCAAAACCATGTGTCTGCAGTTCAGGTAGCTGGAGACCAGAGGTGCCTAACTAAGGGCTAAAAAAAGCTAACAAGTTGGCTAATACCACAGCATTTGAACCTTGATGGGTGGGTAGATTTGATGCACAGGATGATGGAGGGGTGGGAACAATGGTGATGAAATATAGGCAGAGGGGACAGAGGTCAGGGTGAGCATCTCATTGTGACCAGAGAGAAAAACAATTATGCTTTGTTTGCAGAGCATAATGAATGGGTATGAGAAAATTTGAGTTTTGTTCTGGAGAGTCACTGAATCCTACCTGTATTTTAAGAATGTGTATCCGGCTCAGTGGTTTGGACAGGCAGGGTGTGGCCAGTGTCATGCTGTTGCCCTTGTCGCGTGGCCCTCTCCTGTCAGCAAAGTAGCAGATCACAGAGAAGGGGTAGGCTTTTAAACTGAGTGAAGTCCGAAATGATACAGTACCCCACGCTTCTGGGTCCTGGTCACAGGGTTGCATTTACATCTTTGCTCTTACTCAGTCTTCTCTGTGCTGCCTGCACAACTTAAGAGACAGGTTCAGAGGGGTGAAGGTATGTGCCCAAGGACACATAAAAGTGGATTCGTTGCCTAGGACTGTGATAACAAAGTACCACAAAGTGGGTGGCCTCTGAGAACAAAAAGGAATTCTCTTTCTGTTCAGGAGGCAAGAAGCCAAAAACCAATGTGTTGGCCAGGCCACCCTCTCTGTGGACTCCAGGGGCAGATCCTGTTTATCTCAGCTACTGGCAGCTCCAGGTGTTTCTTGGCATACAGCTACATCTTCCCATGGCCGTCTTCTCCTCTGAGGTTAACTGATAACCGCTTCAAAGAGCCTATTTCTAAACAAGGTCACTCTGCCCAGGCAGAAGGAGTATGGCTTCACCCTATCTTTTAAATTTGATAAATCAATCTCTTAACAGCTGCAGCAGCTGAGCCAGAGCGGGCTGTGGCTGACTAGCAGACAAGTGAGTCCAGTGCTCCTCAGCCTCTGGGCTCTGCTGGACATCAGAACCCCACTTGGCCCTGCTCCTCCTCCCTCACCCTTGGAGAAAGCAAGAGGAAGTGCCTTCACATTCTTGGCATTCTGCCCACTCTCTTCCCCATCCCCATTATTTCCCACTGAGGACTGGGTTTGCTGAGGTGTTGTTTCTGAATCACAGAATGTCAGAGTCCTGAGGACACCCACCCCCAAGTACAGTCCCTCATATTGCAGAAGACTCAGACGGAGGAGAAAGGACCCATCTCAGGTCCACACAGCAGATGGGGAAGGAGCCCACAGTTGGCTCATTAACCAGCCTCACCTCAGCTCACCTTTGGGGCATTTCCGGCATGTGCTTTTGTCTTTATAGTTTCTGGCTGACCAATTCCTGGCACTCAGGCCGTTAAAATTCAAACAAGAGGGGTTATTTTAAACCTTATTTCTGCCTGTCTTGAGTTTTACTGTGTGGAGAAAGAGGCACACACCTTCATTTGCCATGAATGTCACCCTGACCCAGGAGGCCCGAATCTCTGGCTCCCTCTTGGCCCAGCACAAACTCATTAGAGGATTCTGGGTGCAAGAGACCAGGGACCCTGTGATAAGTAGCTTCTTGAAGTCATCTGTGGAGAGCTATCCATTGGCTTTTCTTGTTGATTGTCCCAGCAGACCTCCATCCCCATATGTCAGCCATACTCTGAACCACACAGGCACCCCGGCCTGGCCACCTTGTCTCTATTTCCTGAGTGCTGCTTTGACTCCTTTGGTTCAGGGTGGGGTTCACTTCTGTAAACCATCTCTCTTGTGCTCTATCACCCACCCTTCCTTCTTTCTTGCCGGCTTTCCCTAGAGCTGTGAGGCTGGGAATCTGCAGGCCAGCATTTAATTCTCCCCTCACAGCTGCATCTGCCCAGTGAGGTGGTGAGGCATGAGCTGGACTGTTACTAGCATGGTGCTAGGTGTGGAGTGCCATTTCAACCCTGTGACCTGTGCCTTTCTAGGTGATCTTAGGGATCACCTTAGCTAGGAGAAAAGCAACAGATGATAATCCTTTCCATTCCCATAAAAGCCTAACGGGTAAAGAGTTTCACTGCTAACCCAAAGGCAGGCATTTCAAGTCTACCACCTGCATGTTCCATGGGAGAAAAATGGGCAGTCTTTTTCTCTCATGATACTTATAGACTATAAAATCCTGCTAGAAAGTCAGCTATGAGTCAGTTCCAGCTCAGTGGCATTGAGTTAGTTATCCCTACAAACACTGTTTTGGATTTATTTCTTTCTAACTTTTATGACAGACTGGGTAAAAATATAAGAGAACAATATAATTTTTCCATTCAACATTCATAGCCATTTTGTTTCAAGACATTGGTCTCACTCACAGGTGCTGGTTTTGTTTTGTTTTGTTTTTGTCAGGATGCAACCTGAAGATCTTCAACAACCAGGAGTTTGCTGCCCTCCTAGCTCAGTCTGTCAACCAGGGCTTCGAGGCCGTGTACCAGCTGACACGCATGTGCACCATCCGCATGAGCTTCGTCAAGGGCTGGGGGGCAGAGTACAGGTCAGTTTGGAGCTATGTGGTCAGGGCTATTCATGGTGTTGTGGGGACCAGGAATCCCAGGACCAGGGAGAGGCCACAGCCAGGCAAGCTTAGAGGGCCAAGGTGGCGCTCAGGTGATGAGGAAGCCGACCAGACAATGTTCATCCAGCACCTCCCAGTCCAGAAAGTCCTTTAAACATACACGTCTCATGTCATCCTCCTAACAACCCTGAGAGGGAAGGTGGCCATCGTGAAGGCCATCAGTAGTGGACAAGCAGAGCCTCAGACTTTATGCTGGCCTTCTCACCCCTGTCTTCACTTGGAGCAGAAGGTGTTAACTTGACCATTCCCAGAAAGTTAAGTCTTCATCTTATTGTCCCTTCCCTTCCTCAGAGGCTCCGTTTCAGACTTGTGGATTCTGAGGATCTAGGATAGTAAAGCTGAAAGGCAAGGCGAGAGAGGAGGTGATCTGAGTAGTCATAAATAAAGATGCCTAGATACTTAGCTTACTTGCCCAGGAAAAGGGAAAAAAAAATTCCAGAATTTTTGAGACTGGTTTCAAACATAGCCCTTAGCCCAGCCAGGGGGCCACCTGGCCTGGTCTGGTCTGCTCTGTGGAAGGCTTTTGTTGGGTTACTCTGGTTCTGGTTTATAGAATCGTGTTCCTTTTCTTAATACACAAGCAAGAGAGGCAGGTCCCTGCCCACCTCCCCCACTTGCCTCTCTCCGCCCCCACTCCCCACCAGCTGCCGAGGCACAGGGACCCACACGGCAGCTGGAGCCAGCGCCTCGCGAGTAACTCTCCCTTTCGCTTCATTTTTCCAGATGTTTGGAATCCATTTTGTTTTGCAGTCATTCTGCACCCAGGCCAAACCCATTTCAGTTTTGGCTCTGGGCCACCGTTTATAATGAAATCCAGATGAGCATGACTTATGGAAAGTCAGATTCTCATTAGAGGATTTTGCTCCGTAAAATCCTTCTCTTCCATTTACCCTATTTCAGCTGCTGTTCCTTTGTGTCTGCCCCGTCGTGCCAGGGAACATAACACCTGGGTGTCTGGGGTCTTTTTCAGACTCAGGGTTAGCGATTGACTGGGCCAGCCAAGTAGTTGGACCTCAGGAGGACACACAGCCCAATTAGAATGGCCCGTGGAGATTAGCTCAGGCCCAAAGGTCTCGCCAAGGAAATGTTTTAGCCAACCTTCTAGCCTAGGCTATGGTTTAAATCACTTAGGGATCATGAGTAAAAGGTTAGGGGGGGAAAAAGTAAAAAGAAATTATATATATATATATATAAAGTATTTAAAGATAGACTTAAATGGGAAAGATCAAGAGAAGGGTCTATTTGCCCTTATATCTTGATGGACCATGCGCGGTCCCTCAGGCACCCCATATCCATGGGCCAGGCCAGCAGGTCCCTTTTAAACACGCTGTACTGAGCAGATGTGTAGGTCAAGTGAGGAGGGTGGTGCCCTTGGACAGCTTCCTGGGCCTGGTGTAGCCTTGTAGCCCTTCAGCTCCTGGGAACTTGAGTGCTGGGAGAGGCTCCCTGATGGCCGAAGGCTGTCCTTGGGGATCCTTACTACCATGTAGGACACATTGCCAGCACACCCTGTCCCGGGTGGCCCACCCTGCCGCTGCCTGGCAGTGCTGCACGGCAGCCTAACTGGTAGGTGCGGCCCCTTCCCAGAAGTCTTGCCCTTCTCCTGTCTCCTGGGCCAAGAAGAGTAAGGTTTCAGCGCCGCTCTCTGTGAGGTGGCCGACAGCAGGGCGCAAGGCCCGGGCCTCTCACCTCCTGCTGGCACTGGCCCTCCAGCTACAGCAGATAGCCTCTGCTCAGTGGGAGCCCTTGGGAACGCGCCTGCGGGCTGCGTCACCCACCAGCCTGGACTTAGACGAAGTGCTTTGGGGAAAAGAAACGTGTGGCGTGCCTTGGTTTTTTCCAGTAATTGTTCCATGGCTCGCTCTGCTTGTAAGATTTTCCAAAATAAGGCCATAGATGGGAATTGTATCAGCACATTGGAAACCAACTACATGAGGGCTCTCTTGGTGCTTTTTTAAAGCACGCGTCCCAAACCTCTCAATCAGACCGACAGGCACCATTGTGGCCTAGTGGCCTAGTAGCAAGAAGCTGTGCTGTAATCCTGAAGGCACACAGTTCAAGGCCACCAGCTGCTCTGTAGGAGAAGGATGGACAAATCTCCTCCCTTGTGATTAACTGCCTCTGAAAACCGGCCAGAGGGTCAGCTATTGGTCTGTTCCAACTCTACACAACAATAGGGCTTGGGTCCAGGTCTAGAGATAAAAGAAGTACAGGTGCCATCTGGTAACCAAAGAGGCCTGGCCCAAGTATATGGGGTGTTGGAGCACCTTGGAGTTCACCATTCATGTTTAACTCTTCAAGAGTCTCCTTCACTACTTTCTTCTCAAGATTATGGGGTGTTGGAGCACCTTGGAGTTCACCATTCATGTTTAACTCTTCAGGAGTCTCCTTTACTACTTTCTTCTCAAGATTTCCTGAAAGCCTTCTCAGGTTGGAGGAGTTTGGCTTGGCAGTTTAAGCTAGGATAACCAGTGAGGTGTAATAAAGTTTCTGATTTTGAGAGGAAACAGGCGACCAGAGCAGAAAATGGTATAATGTGCTCCTTTCTATGTTTTAAAGTCCCATCTCCCCCTTTTTCTTTTAGGAGACAGACAGTGACCAGTACCCCCTGCTGGATTGAGCTGCACCTCAATGGTCCTTTGCAATGGCTTGACAAGGTCCTAACCCAGATGGGCTCCCCAAGCATCCGCTGTTCCAGCGTGTCCTAGAGACCTTGTGCCTGAAGAGGGAGGGTGGCAAGAAGTGGCCGTGGAGAAAGCCAGAACTCTGCTTAACCCACTGTTGTCAAGAAGACATTTCTCTCCCTCAACCCAAGTGGCACCAGCTTGTTTTCCAAAATGCAAAGGCAAACCCAGAGAAGGATTTTACGAACAGCTGTATCTGCTGAACCAATTTGCCCTTTGGCTCTCAGTTTGAAAGACAAGAAGTGGCTTCGGCTCTGGTGGCTTGAGCAAACAGGTAGTATTTCACCGCCTGCCCCTGCCTCCAGTCGGCTTATTTTTCAGTGATGGTGATCTGAGATGCCACCAGCCAACAGGAAGTGTCCCTCTGGCCAGGGCTGGAGTGTGGAAATTTCCTTGGAAGGGATTCCTAGGTAGGGAAACTCCTACATAGGCATGAGCAGACCTCCTGTCCGACTCTCTTGCAGTTTTGACAAACACCACTTCAGCCAAGCCCACTCCAGCAAGCTCTGTGCCTCCTAAGCTGGATTGACTTGGGGTGGGAGGCGTTCTTGTATCTCCCTCTTCACCACCCCAGCCCACACCGGGGGAGGTCAGTGAATGTGTTCAGTAGAACAGGAACAAGGGGACAGTGGGGAAAGTTGGTAAGAGCCAACTCTTTTTCAAAAACTCTCTTAAATTTGTCCTTTCTCACTTTGGAAAGTTGAAAGGACCTTTTGCGGCTCCGTGCATATGCACTGTATAGTTTTTATTATCACATTAATCTCAAAGAGATTTGAATTACATTAAGTATTGGCGTGAAGCAAGGGTCAGTTGTCATGTGAAGGCGTTTGGGGCTGAGGCAGCACTCCATTGAGTGTGTCTCCCCCCGGCCACCTGGAAACAGCTCACTTCACCTTCTGATGCACCTGGCTTTATTGGTTTACATAGTAAATGGCCTTTTTCAGCTTTTAAAATGCTTATGGTATCTGAAGAAAAACAGGAAAGCAAAAGAAACTAAATTCTGTTTGGTGTATAAACCAAGAAATGGGAGTGGAATCCAGCAACCTCTTCCTCCTCAAGTGAAGTCTTGAGAAGACCTGTGCGTCTACAGCCCTACCACCCTGAATGTTCCCGATCTCATCTGATCACGGAAACTAAGCAGGGTTGGGCCTAGTTAGTGCTTGGATGGGAGAAGACATGTACCAGCACTTTGGGACACTTGACGTTTTCTGGAGCCGTTCATCAGAAGGGGAAAAATCTTAGGCTAACATAGGCGAATGAAAAGGGCTATTAAATTTATGTATGTATTTTTTACACCATTGAAAATTCAAGGCTTGGTACAAAGAACTTCTTCATCTCTCCCATGGGCTTTGAGATCTCTTGCTCCCAGCAGAGGACCCTCAGCGGCAACTCTGGCAGTCACAGTGTCTAATAAGTACTGCTTCCAATGGCAATTAGTGAGACGATTATAAATTTCAACTGGAAAAAGAAGTAAAAGCCCTCTTTTATTGGCCTCTTCACCCCCCTATAACCCCCCAAGAATACAGCAGACAGGATTGCCACCTGCAACTGGTATTTTATTCTTTGCTGCTGTTTTTGTATGAAATGATGTAACCCGTATTTTTGCATGGATTTATACCAGGAAAATAAAAGGATTTCCTATGGAAATCCTGTTATATTCTAGGTGAAGGGAAGAATGGCAGGTAGAAACCTCCAGTGAGATGACCTTTCAGATGCCATTTGGAGAAGTTGGGGTTCCCTTGAACCTCCCTTCTTCCTTTTACCTGTCTCCAGGTAGCACAGCTGTTCCTCAAGCCTCCTGAGAACACAGAAAGACTGAAGGGACAGTTTGCAGACTTGTTCTCATCTTCTTTATGGAGTTTTGACACACAACCCAAAGACAGTACAGAACCCCTTGACTCCATCCAAGAGGCCTCATACTGCAGGCCTGAAGTCTGTGCCTGCCGTGAACTGTTCTGTGTGTAGACTGCTACTTCACAGCACGGGGAGCTCCCAGAAGACTGTCAGGCAGGGTCGGAGACCTGGAGTCTGCATATTCCATTGGTTTCTGTTGGAGCAATCCTGGTGCCTTTTGTAAAAGCTGCCAGTGGGCTTGGGTTTCTGAGGGGCTTGCCTTCTCCACCTGTCACACAGTCCCCGGTGAGGGTTTCCTGTGGTGCACGCAGCCTCTAGGTACTTGGGAACTGTCATCAGGTGCTGCCTAATTTTTCTGATCCAATGGTTACCTCTGGCAGCGTTCAGATGGAGTCTCAGAGCCCTTGGTGCACAGTCCTGAAGGTTATCTCTAGGAGGCATGACGTTTTTCGTGTGGTGTTTTTACTAAAGGCTTCTTAACCCTTTATTTCTTTGTAGAGTAGACCAAGGAGGAGGGCCTATGAGGAAATTCGAGGCAAGACCACTGCTGGCATCACTGAATATAAATTTGTTCTTAGAGGTTAGATGGTACCATCGCCAGCCTAGAACACTCTGTATGTAGGTCCTTCAGGGACACATGTAATATTAGTGTCCTTTTAAGTTACAGAGCTAGTGTTTGTAGTTATAAAATCCTGTTGTATGAATGGCCTTATACACGAAAACCAAAACTTTTGTTTTTTAAACAAACAAGAAAAAGAGTTAAAAGGGACAAGCAGAAATAAGAACAGTTCTGGAACTGTGACTGAGGCTGTGGGATGACTGATGGACGTGTCGTGTGTCACTGTCCTCAGGAGTGATGCCTGCACCTTGTGTCCAGTGCTCACACTGACCTGCGAATTGCGAGCCTTGGGGTGTGTCTGTGGCCTCGGCACCTCGCTGAGAGGCCAGCTTTTATTCCCTCTCAGCTTGCCCCCTTCCTTCTTGCCAACTTTATTTAGCAACTTAGCTCCTTCCAGGACAGATGTAGGTAGCGGCCCTGGTCGGCTTGGATTACAGGCCTGTGTTGGGACATCATCTCAGTTGGCCACCTTTCTGGCAGGCGGTAGAAGAGCTGACATTTTGAGACCAGGCCCTTGTCAGGCGTGAAGGCTGACTCTTTATCTTGGGAAGAACCCATGTGAGGGTGGCTTCTCTATTGTCCTTAGTTGGCTGCTTGTTTTTTTCTTTTAAAACTGACTGGTTTTCTTTTTTTTTGTTGGTGGTGGTTTGTGGGTTTTGTGGGTTTTGTTTTGTTTTGTTTTTAAGTCATTATTAATGTACTGACATGAGCTATAAAGGACATATTTTGAATTTTTTGTTTTCCCCTCCATCTTCTCTTGGCTTCCTAGAGTTTGGGCATATTCTAGGAGTTTTCTTGAATTTGGACACATGCTTAATTTACTCAAACCACAATGGGGAGGGGGTTTCTTTAATTAGCATATGCATGTTGTGCATGTGTGTGTGGAGTCTGGAGAGAGGGCAGGCATCTGGCTTCATTCATAGCCCCTAGTGGCCTTTTGGGAGGCTCCGTGAATTATTTCTGAGGGGCTCACAGCTGCCCATCCCCTGAGACCTAATGAGATAAGGACAGGAGAGTGAGCAGATCACCCCAGAGCCACCTACCAAGGGGTTAACAGTCTCAAAGGAGGATACGAGGTCAGCGCTGGACCCTGCTGCTTCCTGTGTGATTTTAAGTGCCAGAGTTGAGAGATCAACCCCATGGTAGGTATATCTCAGTTTTATAAGATGAAGACCTCACCTTGAACAGGTAAATCAGTTTTCTTTCTGTAGCATAAACGTCTCCTGGTAGGACTCTCCCTAAGGTCCTCCTGCAGTCTTCACAGTGTACATCCCCGACCCCACCCCCCCCCTTATAAGGAGCATCAGTTACTTCTTATGTCATGGGTCATTTTCCAGATGGAAATTTTTGGATTAAAAGTGAAACTTAGGTGTGAGGCAATAAAAAAAGAGTGACTGAGCACACAGGAACCTTTTCAGAAACACATCTAGCATATTAAACATACCTGTTGTGGAAACTGGATTGAGATATATCTCTCAGTGATTGTGTCATTGATTTTCTTTTTTTTAAATGCTGAAGTGTATATACTCTAGCATTCTGGTGTTTTTATATTTATATAATGATTTCTTAAAACCATTCAGACAGTTAGCTATTTAATGTTTTGAAGAAAGTTGGAAAGGTCTCTCCTCCCAAGGACACTGGCTGGGAAGAGATGGGCACAGCCAATTCTGAATGTCGGCTGAGGGTGTCGTGGCTGCCTGGCTCAGTGTTGGGACACCAGCCCAGGCTGGCTGAACAAGTGGCAGCATGTGCAAACAGGCAGCTCTGTCTCAGACACAGGACCTTCCCCCAGGAGTCCTTCTAAACTGCCCCCTCGCCCTGCCCCGGGGGGAACATTTTGTATGGAGGGATGGAGCCACCGTTGTCCAGGTAGCCTTCACTCCCCTTCCTGGGTGCTCCCATGACAAGGCTGTTCTTGACCCTCATCTGGAAGGGGGTGGCAGGGAGGGGAGAAGGCTGTGGAGGATGGTGGTTACCTTTTCTTCTTGGCCAGCCCAACCTTTTATTACCTTTGTAAAAAGCATGTGCGTATTTATAGTGTTTTAGATTTTTTTTTCTAACTTTTGTATCTTAAGAGCAGAGCACCTGATTAAGCATTGTACCCCTATTGTTAAAGATCTGTGTCCTCCCGCCTTCTCTTCCCCCTAAGTGCCCTTCTAATAAACTTTTCATTGACGAGCACCTGTACCGGGATGCATTCTGGTTCTTGCTGCTGCCTGTGTGTGTGTTGCCATTGGGCCGGAACTGATTGGCAGCTGAGCCTCCAGTGGGTTTACAGAGGCAGTAAATTGCACAGGAGATGCCCATCTTTCTTCCACAGAGCTGGTGAACTTGATCTGCACGTCCTTGGGATTATAGCACAGCTTCTTAAAACTCTGCCACCCAAGCTCCCTGCTGTCTCTATGGAGGATTTCAAGAGCCTAGTGATTTCCCCAGGTTTCAGAGCTGTGGGGGCTACAGAAAGCACTGAGGGTCAGGGAGATGCACTGTCACCGTGAGTACAGCAGTGGGTTCAGCATGTCAGCTTGTGAGGATGGGGCAGGCTAAGGCAAGGTTCTGATCTGTTTGTTCTATAAGGGGGTTAGGAGTTGCCCAAATAAATGTACGTTGCCCAGGACACGCCACGTTACATTGTCACTGTCATATATTCCCCAGCTGCCCTCATTTAGTCACTGAGGGCAACCTGCACTGCATGGAGCCCCGAGTCAACTGAAGCAAAGGGCAAGAGTTTGCAAATGATAGATGAATCTTCCCTGATCCCTGCATCTAAGTACCACCCAGGCCCCAGAGATGCTACGTTAGCAATGATGTCTGTGTTATTGTCCATGTACTTAAGACATTTGGCAAGTCACTAAATGCCACCACCCTAACCTCAGGCTTGCT